TTTTGTTTGTTTGTTTGTTGTTTTTTGATGTCCTGACTCTTGAGGAAGGGAATGCTTGATTCACTTTGTACCATTTACATGAAGAAAAGTGCCCACATAACAAGAGTTATTTACTGTACTAAGATGAACTACAATGATAGATGGATAGATAGATAGATTATTTAAAGATAGGAAAGATCACTGTGAACTGAGATTGCCAGAGACGGCATGGATAATGCAGAATTTGATTTTAGTAATAGTTTGCAGACAAGGCTAAATCACAGGACCTTGGGATGCTCTAGAAATAATGAAGACATAAGGAAAAATGTTTATATAGTGTGTGTGTGTGTGTGTGTCCGCATTGGGGCTTGAATTCTGGGCCTCATGTTCTTGCTCTACCACTTGAGCTACACCTCCACTTTTGGCTTATATGCTAGTTAACTGGAGATAAGAGTCTCTTGGATTTGTCTGCCCAGGCTGGCTTTGAACTGTGATCCTCAGATCTCAGCCTCCTGTGTACTTAAGACTGTAGGCATGAGACACCAGCACCTGGCTTTATATGGTCTTAATTTCATTAAACAGCTTAATTTTTCCACACAAGAAACTCTGTAACTTCTGTAACTACTCATGGGAAATATATAATACACAATAGAAACTACAGAAACAAAGAAAACACAAACATACTAACACAAAAAACTCACACTGAACATCAGAAACAAGGGTTAATTCTCTGAAAGTTTTCTGTGTGCTATGGAAAGTGGCAAAAAGGCACTAGCTTGACACTTTAGCTCTCCAAAACAGAGTACCACAGTGGATACTGTAATTCCTAAACTGAGTATAAAGGAATGTGCTTACCAAATTTTCTCTTAGGATTTCTTCATTCCCCAGTGAAAATATTTTGAAACACTACTAGAATTCAGAGGACACATTCAAGAACTTAAAACTTGGGTTGAATCCTAACAAGTACATTCATATACATATTTGTGTTCATAGCACCTCATTCTAAACACATTTTAAAAGAGAATATAGCCGGGCCCGGTGGCTCACACCTATAATCCTAGCTACTCAGGAAGCTGAGATCTGAGGATCACGGTTCAAAGGCAGGTGGGACAGGAAAGTCCAAAGCCAGGCCAGGCAGGAAAGTCCGAGACTCTTATCTCCAATTAACCATCAGAAAACTGGAAGTGGCATTATGGCTCAAGTGGTAGAGCTCTAGCCTTGAGCTGAAGAGTTGAGGGACAGCGCCCAGGCCCAGAGTTCAAGCCCCACGACTGACAAAAAAAAAAGGAGGAGGAGGAGGACACACACACACACACACACACACACACACACACACACACACACACACACGCCTCATAAAGCCAGAAGTGGAGCTGTGGCTCAAGTGGTAGAGTACAAGCTTAAGCAAAAATGCTTAAGGTCAGAGCCCAAGCCCTGAATTCAAGCCCCAGTACTGGTATAAGAAATAGAGAATGAGAAAGAGAGGGGGAGGGAAGGGAGGGAGGGAGGGAGAGAAGGAGGGAGGAAAGGAGGGAGAGGGAAGGAGAGGGAGAGAGAGAGAGGGAGAGAGAGAATCTAAATTTATTAACTCTATACATGCTAATTTCATTCACACATTCTCTTTTCTTTAGCCCAGTTGTGCTTCAAAAAAAATCTGAAGAATTTATGGAGAAAGAATTTGCTAATTTCAGATCTCTAACAGCTGCTAAATCCATAGCTGCTTCTGTGACATTACATGGCAATCTCAGAAAATACACTTGGTCTGGGTTCTTCCAAAATAACTTATTTAAACCTACCTTACAGGATGCCTTAAGAGCAAGTTCTACAAAGCTTAGTTATTGGGTGGCTTATAACTCTGTCTAGGTGTAACACTGCAATTACTTATGACTAAAATTTCTAGCCGCTATCCAGCCAGTCTTTTTGGCCTGTAATACTCAAGAACAAATGCCCATCAACAGGTCATTTGGGAATGAGCAGCTGATTTGAAGCACTGCATATTTTCAGGGCCTGGTGTTGTCTTAAAATATACAAATGTGACAAGGATTTTAACTATCAGATATTGTAAAGGAATTAAAACAACGTAATATGACAGGTCATTCTAAAATATAGTTCAAGTGTCCAAACACATGCAAATAAAAGAATTAGAATATTTCCTCAAAAATTTCCTAGAAATTATGAGTTTTCAGTTTTATAACCCTTCAGCACACAAACTATCTTACTTTGAGAATACAGACTATTGTTGTTTTAATTCTCAATAAAATACTTCTCTTTAGGACATCAAAAGATTTTGAAACTAACAATAAACACTGCATTAATCATTCAAGAAAGACATATGGCGTAACATTTGAAAAGCTGAACTGCACCTGTCACCAATTCAACAGAGGGATATTTTACACAGAAATGATGTAGCTTTAAAACTTGACAATTTTGCTACACTAACCAATAATAAGAATCTCATTGTCAAGCAGAATAAAAATTTTACTAACACAAAGATTTCCAGATTTAGATCATATGGGATATCACCATGAGTGAGTGACTTCATCTCATCATACTTTTATTTCTTCATCCACAAGATGGGAAAAATCATAGTAACAAACTCTTAAAAGACTGTGTTAGCCCAGGTAGGAAAGTCCATGCTAAAGTTTATAACAGAGACCAGCAAAGGTTAACGACCAAAGAAATGTTGGCTATTATGTGGGGAGCTTTTCTTTTTTACTGATAAAACAGAACAGTAATACAATTGAAAAAATCCTGAAAGTTAAAAAAAGACACCATTGTATGATCTGCAAAAAAAAATAAAGCCTTAGGGTATGCTTAAGGTATAAATAATAGAAAAAAACTTAAAGTTTTTCTTTTATATTTTTCTTTTTTTTTTGATCCGTCGTGGGCCTGAACTCTGGGCCTGGGCGCTGTCCCTCAGCTCTTCAGCTCAAAGCTAGTGCTCTACCAATTGAGCCACAGTGCCACTTCCAGCTTTTTTTTTTCTGCTTATGTGGTGCTGAGGAATTGAAGCCAGGGCCTCATGCATGCAAGGCAAGCGCTCTACCACTGAGCCACCTTCCCAGCCCCTCTTTTACATTTTTGAAAAGAGTCAGGCACTGGTGGCTCATGCCTATAATCCTAGCTACTCAGGAGGCTGAGATCTGAGGATTGTGGTTTTCCGGAAGCCAGTCCTGGCAGAAAAGTCCCCATGAGACTCTTATCTCCAATGAACCACTCAACGACTGGAAATGGAACTATGGCTCAACTGGTAGAGTGCTAGCCTTCAGCAAAAGAGTTCAGGGACAGTGTCAAGGCTCTGAGTTCAGGCCCCACAATTGACAAATAAGTAAATTATAAAGCAAGCAAGCTACATCCCTTCAAGCTACATCCTACCATTTTGATTCTGTCATTAGCTCTGGTTTGCAAATTGATTTTTCTTCTTATAATTTGAAGGTAAATCCCAGTATATTATAGCAAGAAAGCCACAAAATTAGCTGCTCAGGGAAGGCAAAATCAGATTATTTAACAAACCACTAAGTGGAAACTAATTCCTGAAGTTAAATGCCAAATGTTTCTACAATAAAAACTGCAAACTTTCATGTGAACAAACCTCTTTGACAATAGGGAGTTGTTCCAGTTTGTGAATAGGACAGTGTCAGTGTGACTAACACAGTGGGAGCTGGACATTCCTGACACTCTTGTCCCCTGGCTACCCTTTGGAAACTTACATCTCCCAACTGCACTTGGTTTTGGAAGTTAACTTCCAGGCAAAGCACAGGTCACACCAACCACAAACTGAGACATCCTTCTCCCAGTTTCCAGTGCTTCTGAACCAGACCCCCTACTTTTTAATACACCATTGCTAGCATCCCAGTAGAATGAACACTAAAATGCTTTGTCTTCCGAAGACTGTTCACCCCCCACCACCACTCCCACACAATCCCTTGGTGTTTTGTTTTGTTTTTTTTTGTTCTGAAAACCTAAAGGGATGATGATAAGAACAAAGCCGAAAGTCCAGATGACCTAAGGACAGAAAAGGAGCTGGACTGGTGGTTACTTTGGGAAGGCTTTTACATTTGGAAGGCTACCAGACCAAAACAACTGCTCTGGGATGATGCTTTTAGCAAATGTGAGTTTGACGCTGTGCATCCTGAAGACAGCTTTGGCGGGGGGGGGGGGGGAACAAAACAAAACAAAACAAAATGATCCATTATTCTCTGAGAACCGGTTGGTTAGAACCCTCCTCATACAGCTGCTGTAACGACGACATGAGATAACGGTTTCCAAGTGCTCTGTGTGTATGTGCATGTGTACATTAATATATGGGTGTATATATTAATGCTCAGTAGATGGAAACTTCTGTCTAACGGACAGGACAAGGAAGATATACCCATGAGGTAATTCCAAAAGAATGAGGAAGAAGGAGGAAGAGAAACAAACTTTCGAGCGTATCAGTGTTATCCTCATCAAAAATGGCCCAGATGTTGGGGAGAGGAGGGTGTCCGAGTCTCCTGGAGACAAAAGGAAAGTCCTCAAACCCTCTGCACCAAGTGTTTCTGCAAAAGCAAAGCTGGCTTTGCCCAGTCCAGTTCTTCAGTAGATGGCAGGAGACCGAAGCAGGACAGGTCCCCCCCGAGGGCTGAGCCCGAGCAGCCGGCCAGGCCCGGCCGGGCTGGGGCAGGACCCCGCGCCGCGCACCGCCGCGCACCGCGCGGCTCCCCGGGGTTTCCAGCAAGTTCCCCAGCCCACGCCGCAGCAGCCGCCGTCCTTCGCCCGCCCAGGCCTGGGGACCAGCCCGCCGTCCCGGAGAGCACCTCGCCCCACGCGGGCGCCGCGGCGGGCCGAGGGTCGCCCGGCACGGACCGGCCCGCGAGGGCGCCCCTCCGGGGCCCAGCCCGCCCCACTCCCCGCCCCGGAACCGAGCCGGGACCCCCGGAGTCCCCGCGGCTGGGAACCGCTATCTGCCTGGACCGGCTTCAGCTGCTCCGGCCCGCTCGGCTCCCTTCGCTCCTAGACCCTCCAGAAACGCGCCAGCTCACCCCTGAAAAGCAGCAGCAGGAAGAAGTCGGGCAGCCGGGCGCAGACCCGGACGCCTCGTCGCCGTCTCAGCGCCATGTCGAAGATAGCTGAGGGGCCCGCGGGCGCGCCGCGCAACTCAACGGCACCGCGCGCATGCGCCCTGACAGCCTTGACCCACCTCCAGTTACCATAGTGACCACCCGGCTGGGCCGAGCCGGTACCATGGTAACAGAGGAAGCTAATGTCTGGTTGCCATGGAAGCAACGATGCTCTCCAGACCCGGCCCAGGGGACCTCTTTCAATGAATTTAGTGGGAGGAGGGGAAAGCAGCGTGCTGAGAGTGGAGAAGGGGTTATTTCTATAACTAAAAATAAATCCATCCCTACGAGTCTGAGAAGGGATAGTCCGATTAAAATTCAAGAAATATTTCTTATTTTTATAAACAAGGATGTAGCCTTGTTGCCTTTACTTCTTTAGGATTTGCAATTCCAAATAAGATGACAGGAAAAAGCGCTGAAACCTGCTTAAAACATTAGCAAGACTGTGTGTGTGTGTGTGTGTGTGTGTGTGCGCGCGCGCGCGCATGTATATATATATATATATATAATATCGAGCTAGTACATAAAAAAAGATCTTGCTAAAATAAACTGATTTGTTTTTGTGGTAGAGAGTTCATCCTGGAAGCGAATTCTATGCTCTGAATTTTGAATATTGGGAGATGCTAAGGCTGGAGAAGAAAAATAGAGCAGGATCTTATGAAGATAAGCAGAGAAAGAGAAGAATAAAGCGAACCGGAAGTTAAGGAGACAGGAGGATTACTATTATGAAAAATCCTTGGAAAAAACCTCTTTGTATCTACTATAGAAAGAACATCCCAATAGTCCCATAGTAACAACAAATTCCAGTATAGTTATTTTATAAAGGTGCTAGTTTCCAGCAATCAACATTTTTCTTTAACATAAAGATTTTAATTTTGCATGTAATCATCCTACATTTTCTTATTATTTGTAGTTTTTGAAAACTGGAACTATATATTATACACCAAATATAATATTATATATATATTACATATGCTAAGAAATATTAAATAGATTGAGGTTATTGCCAAGTATAATGCCCCAACGTTCATCACAATATGATCTTCTTTGTAAGTCTTTATAACTGTTCAAACTTTGTAAGTGTGAATTAGTTATCTCCCTCCTCTCCCCCCAAAATCTTATAAAGAAAGAATTATTAAAAAATTGATAACCTATTATGGTTCTATTTACCTTTACTTTCCTAAGCTTCTTTGCATTTCAGGTCACTATGTACCAAAGTCACAAGTAAATATGTATAAAAGAACTTTTAATCGGGGCTGGGAAGATGGCTCAGTGGTAGAGTGCTTGCCTTGCATGCATGAGGCCCTGGGTTCCATTCTTCAGCACCACATAAGCAGAAAAACCTGGAAGTGACACTGTGGTTCAAGTGGTAGAGCGCTAGCTTTGAGCTTAAGAGCTGAGGGACAGAGTTCAGGCCCCATGACCGACTTAAAAAAAAACTTTTAATCAAACACAAATAGAGAAAATGGAAAGAGGGAAATTCTGCTTGGAACTACTGATTTTATCTTTCTCCTTTCTTTCTTTTCTCTCTGGTCACATGGTCAGGCATAATGGAAGAAAGCATTTTGATTGCTCAAGAAATGTAAGATGGTGTCTAACTGTGGATAAAGTACAGTTTTTGGAAATCAGTGCCTCCTTAATCTTGCTGGATTTCCTGTTTGCCTTATGAAATGGTTCTTTCTCCTTTAGGGACTCTTTTGAAACTCAGGCAGAGATTTCAAAGAAAGACTTCATGAATATTCTATAAAGGGCAGAGGGTCCTGTGAGAGATGATGGCAGGTGCTTCATTGTAAAGCATTTGGTTTTCCTCCACAGATGGAGTTAGTATGTAATTACTGCTGGCTGAGATATGTATGTTCCTGGAATGTAAGTGTAACTAGGGTTGCAGCAGGGCAGACTAACACATGTGGCTGTGAAGTGGTCTGTTCCTCCTTAGAGTTTTATTGTTCCCTCAAGAGCTCAATGAGACCAGATCAAAGTTTTAGAAGCATTCAGTAAGCAAAGCTCTGGAATCTGCACCTTTTTTTGGAGGGCCAGTCTTGGGGCTTGAACTCAGGGCATGGGCACTATCCTTGAGCTTCTTTTGCTCAAGGCTAGAGCTTTACTACTTGAACCACAGCACCACTTCTGGCTTTTTCTGCTTATGTGGTACTAAGGAATTGAACCCAGGGCTTCATGTACATTAGGCAAGCACTCTACCACTGAGCCACATTCCCAGCCTTTGGAATCTGCACCTTTATCACAGCATTACCCAGCATTATTTCTAATATGCAGCTTACCAGGAAAGATACATTTCCTAACAAACTCAGGAAACTAAATAGGTATGTGCTAAATTCTAAAGCATTGTGAATACTGTTTAGTGCAAACACAAAATGTAAATCAAGTGGTAAATAACAAGATTTCTACAAAATTTGTTTGAGGCAAGCAACTGGAGAAGTCAGGTTTTTGTACCCTTGGGAAAATTACTTCCCTAAGGTTTAGATTCCTGATTTTTAAAATTATCATTGCAGCACTCACTTCTTTGGAATGATTGCATGAAGTTAAACATTTAGCATACTAGGCATTCAATAAATATCTGTTGCCTCTATCCCTTCCCTTACCCACTGCTTTGGTTCAAATCAGGCAAAATGGACATTTCTAAAGAGCTTTGATTAAAACAACAACAACAACTTTGCACAGGAGTCAAAGCAAATAAAAGCAAACAAGGAGTTTTACATCAATGTATGTTTAATCTCTAGATTCTTAAAAAGCAACAAGATCCTGACTTCTATTCATTCATAATGTCTTTAAACCTCTGAATGATCACCTGGAAACAATCCTTACAGCAGGAAAGAAGGGGGATTCTTTGCCTCAAGAGAGTCTACAAACTTAAAGTTGTTTTATGAAAGCATCCTTCCTAGAGCTTTACAAGGGTCTTATCATATTCCTGTTGCTGCATTTCCCATTCCCTTTAAGCCCTATCTCTCCTACTATACCTCCCTTAGCACTCTCCTACATTTTATCCCAACTATAATCCTCTCTTCTTTATCCTCAAAGTGTAATTTTATCTTAATAAGATAACCCAAGCCAGGAGCCAGTGGCTCACACCTGTAATCCTCACTACTCCAGAGGTTGAGATCTAAGCAGAATAGTTCAAAGCTAGCCCGGGCAGGAAAGTCCTTGAGATTCTTATCTCCATGTAATCAACAAAGGGCCTGTAGTGGAGCTGTGGCTCCTGAGGTAGAGTTCTAACTTTGAGTAAAAAAGCTCTTAGACAACCCAGGCCTTGAGTTCAAGCCCCAGGAACAGCATAAAAATAATAAACAAACAAATAAATAAATAAGAGAACTCTTTTCCATTTAGTAAAATAGTAGTAGGCATCATCTCCATCTCTTCCAATAAGATAAGCTTCAGTGCAATAAAAGTATAAGGAAGTCGGGCTCAGAGAGACAAGGAACACATGTTCCTTCTCATGTGTATATGAAAAATACATACAGCTCCATATGTATGTATATATACATATACATATATATGATCAAACTGATGAAAGTATGGCATATATAGGCGTGGTATCCCATGGGTAACTCCTTTGAACAACCAACAAGTCGTTTAACAAAATAAATACCAGAAAAATGAAACATGGCTTGACTGAGAAAGGGAGAGAAGAATGGTAGGTGAGTATAGGCATAATACTCAATGTATGAAAATGGAGCTAGAAAAATTTAGGCAATGGGTGGGGATAGGAAAGATGGGAGGATGGGGAAGAATGAAGGAAAAGATGACACTGCTCAAGATGCGTTTTACATATAAATGGCCATGTCAAATTGAAACTTCTTTGTACTGTTGTGCGGTGAATTACACCTTAAATCAGATATAAAACCAACCATGAGAAAATTAGAGAGGCCACATTTTGAGAAGTCGAATTTTGGAGTCCTTATTTAGTGCCAGTGGTGTGCAAGCAGCCAGTCGTGAAGACCTGCAGCCCCAGAGCTTGCACCAAGCTTTTAAAGACAAAGGTCACATGTTGGGTGGAGAACAAGCCTCAGCAAAGCATTATACGTAAACACAGCACAAGATGCAGAACTGCAGGGGAGCTAAACAACCCAGACCCAGCACCTGGCCAGGCACCTGGATGTCTGTGACTCAATTTTCCTCACTTCATTCCCCACTGCTCTTTATGTAAATGAAACCAAATCTTTTATTTCCTCACTTCAGTACAACTATTTGAAGATAACAATAAAAAAGAGAAAATATATGCTGCAGTTCAAGTTACCATATTCCTTTTGTTTATGGTGATAAAGGTCATGCTGGTACCAAATATTTGTCAAAAAGCTTCCTGGAGAGAGGCCTTCATCTGCAGCTACTTAATAAAACTTTCACAGGAGGTGGTGGTGGTGGTGGTGGTGGTGTGTGTGTGTGTGTAAGGAAGTTCCTCACTTAATGTAGGGCAGGAGTTAGTGTCTGGACTATATCTCCATCAGCCAAGACCTCTTTATGCCCAGCACACATTAAAATACAACACCAATCAAACATAATCAATATTGTGCATTATGAATGTCCTATGATACAAGATTTATTTCCCTAAGGTTGAGCCTCTTAAAAGTTATGAACCCTAAATCACAGTGAAGAACATTTTATGAAGAACATTCCTGCCTCAACTCAATCTTCCTTCATTCGTTCGTTCCTTCCTTCTTTCCTTCCTTCCTTCCTTCTTTCTCTCTTTCTTTCTTTCTCTCCCTCTCTCTCTCTTTCTTTCTTCTCTATCTCTCATTTAATACACTGAAGTTTGAATTCATGTCTCTATACTTGCTAGGCAGGTGCTCTACCACTTGAGTCACACCTCCAGCCTTCAAAATCTTTCTTTGAGGATAGCAAGAAGCAAGGCTTCGCTGGGGACACCCAGCTTTACAGACACCACAGAAAGGGTGTCCTGGACTGCTTAGAAAACAACAATTCCCAGTCCTCCTAGAAGGAGGCCACCTGTGACTAAATAAAACAGACTTGCTCCTTTAAAAAAAATTCTTTACTTGGCCTATTGACTACTTCCAGTGGACTAGAGAGAATGTGAGAAACTATTCACCTAAGGTGGGCCTTAGAAGTTTAGGAACATATGCACACTGCCTGAATTTAATTAGAGCTAAATGCAG